TGAGTATTCCACTCATTATTAACTAATTTCAGTAGAGGGAAGGGAGGGAGGGAGGGAAGGGAGGGAGGGAGGAGGGAGACCCTTTGGACAAAAAATATGCAAATTTTAGACTGGACACCAAAGAGTCTGAATGATCGGGATTTCACCTTAATAGCAGGCCCTTCCACAAATACTGAGACCTGTAAGGAAAGGCTTCTTAGGGGTTTCCTACTTTTTCACTCTCCCTCAAATAGAGGGAATTAATATCCTGGACTGGAGGAGTGAGCAGGCTGATATAACTGAGGGAAGACATGTCCACTTCAATTTATGTCTCAAATGATTTAAAGCTTGGGAACTTTGGGAGAGGGAGTCATTAATATTAATCTGGAAATACAGGAATAGCAAAGGCTAATTTTGGAAAGAGGACGAAGCAACACACACAAGAAGCAAGTTGAAGGATTCAAGGAAAGAAATCCATATTATGTAGAGAACAGATTTAAAAAAGCAGCTTCATATTTGTGGCAGGGAGTGCCACTTTTAAAAGAATAGGTTAAAGAATTTCCATTGTGTTCTATTTACTGCTACAATCATTTTTCACCAAGATGTTTGTAGTTATAGGCCAACATAACTGGGGGTCACTAGGTTGGAAGGCTGATAAGTGTTTACTCCATCTGTGAATATTGGGGCAGTTGGTTTCTTCCAATTCCATTAATAGGTTGCCCTCTTGAGAACTGAGTGGGATTAAAATTAAACTATCCCTAATTAAAACAAACACAAGTATAAGAAAGCACAAAAATATCCATGGAGCAAAAACAATACATTTAATTCAAATTTATCCCTTATGTACTCATCCCTGATTATTCATTAAAGATTTATAGGAATAGCTCTCTCCCCCAAGTTACAAGGAGATGAGCCACATATTTGACAGAAATCCACCTGTCAGAATCCCTTGTTACAGAAAATTGGCAAAATCTGCTAGAGAAGGCTCAATTGATCTGTTTTTAGTACTGTGACTATTGAATTCTACCTAAGGAAATTCTTGTTTAGCAGAATTATATCTTTAAGATTACTTTAAAACATTTGAAGAAACACAGAATTAAATGGTGTGATAGCAAATGGGATCCAAATGTCAGTAAAGGCAATACTCTATGCACATTGAAAGGAACTATTCTAGCAGCATAAGAATTCATCTACACAGAACTGCAGGTCCTCAACTTAGAACAGTTCATTTAGTGACTGTTGTAAATTATAACGGCAATGAAAAAAGTGACCATTTTCACAGTTACAACCTGTTTAGCATCCCCTTGATCACATGATCAAAATTCAGATCCTCAGTAACTGGTTCATACTTACAACCATTGTTGTGTCCTGGGGACATGTGATCCCCTTTTGCGACCTTCTGTCAAGCAAAGTCAATGGGGAAGCCAGATTCATTTAACAACCAGGTTACTAACTTATCAACTGCAGTGATTCACTTAACAACTGTAGCAAGAAAGGTTGTAAAAAGGGGCAAGACTCACTTAACAAATGTCTCACTTAACAACAGAAATTGTGGACTCAATTGTGGTCATAAGTCAAGGACTACATGAACAGAAAGGAATCATCAATATGTAATCAATAAAATATCTGGGTAACACAGAAGAAAGCAAATACTTGTTTTACAAATGATTTATTTTACATAAAGGCTAATACCTTTATTTAATTTAACTTAGCTGTTTAATATCAACATCTGGAACTATTTTTCACTCCAGAAACATGAAACAATAAAAGCAGTGTGTTTTTGTATCTATTTCCAATACATTTATTATCATTATTCCTCTTACTTCTGTTAATACAATATCATATCTGAAAGAAACTGACTTAACCAGCTGGTTGGGAAATTATGAAATGACAGTCATCCAAGTATTGCATAATGTATCTTAACATTTTCCCTATTCACACCTTTGCAAAGGAGTGGCTGCGAATGTCTTGGCATTCTGGGAATTCACTGCAGGCAAAATTAAAAAGAAATGTTCCTAAACACAATTTCAAAATAAACACAATATAAAGCTTTCAATGCACTATGATACTGCTGTATTTGTTAACTGGAATATATGGAATTGAGTGTCAAATATAGACAATACAGATAGTCCTCGACTTATGACTACAATTGAGTCCAACATTTCCATTGCTAACCTGGACAATGCTTAAGTGAGTTTTTTCCCATTTTACGAACTTTCTTGCCACAGGCGTTAAGTGACTCAATGCAGTTGTTAAATTAGTAACACAATTAGTAAGTGAATCTGACTTCTACATTAACTTTGCTTGTCAGAAAAGGGGATATCACATGACCCTG